CTATGACTAATAGATATGAAGTTCTCGTGCCGGTATCTTGTCCCTCCCTAACGGTAAATGGTTTAGATTGGGATTACAGGGCTGACCAAACGTAAATATTTACTTAATGTCAGAATAAATCATATGTAAATGTTAATCTGGTGTCTGAATAACACCGATTTTCTGTTTACCATTATATACAGTCGAACAGGATATATACAGCTGTGTTTGATGACGTGGTAACACTGAATGCTGTTGGGTGTGATTCTGGTTAGTGGATTTCTGGAGTGTCGACAGATGAAACTGCAGCGCGAGCTGGATGCGTCACCAGTTTGTGTACTAATTATCACGAGTTTTTCTAAGTTACAGAACACGATTTTTATTAGTTAATGAATACGACAATGGTTCTATCTAGTTGATTGTATTTATGATAAATAACACCAACAATCTATCTAATTTTCCTAATACCATTGTCATTACCAAGTTATTATTTTCATCGCTGTGGTGTATAAATGTATCTCATAATAAAATTAGCTTGCCGACAACTGAATAAGTGCAAAATATTGGTATAATTAGTATATTTCGAAAATTGGATCTCCCAAAATTGACGTAAAATTAAATAATATAGAATAAAGAAAGAAGTAATAAAAGTTTTAATTTTTAAGACAGTAATTTTCAGAGAGAGGTTAGAACCAGAGCATGCTGCATTCTTTCGTCCTATTTTGCATACAAGTTACGCAAAACGAACTTTCAGGAATAACACCGTGTTTCATTTATTACTAATTGGTTCAAGAATACTTTAACAAAATGATGAAAATAACGTTAAAATTATGACTTGAAACATTCACGTGATTTTTTTCTTTTCGTATACATTAATTGAGGATAGTTTTATTTGACAGATGAGATATAAATAACATATTGATAATCTATGTAAAATATTCACTAGAAATATGAAGAAAATAGGTACCGTAGATTTATAAGTCACAGGCTTGCTGAGTCTAAACAAAGTTGAACCGTTTTCTGTATTTATTGATAGAGCAAATATTAAAAAAAAAAGAAAAAAAAAAAAAAAAAATATCGAAAACTGGTTGTTGTTCAAATTCCAATTCTTTAACTCAGCTACAATGTAATGTCGAGCTCTGTGATGCCGATTACAGTTAAACAGAATTTATTCAGTATTGGTATAAAACTGACTGGTATGATTTTTTGTGCAGGTCTGTGATATAACAGGAAACACTTCGGTAACCGTTGTAATCTATTCCAGATGTAATATTTGTTTCTACACATTTATAAACGTTAAGATACATCCTTAGGAATAACTTCAAGGATACTGGTTATCGTGAGGCATTTTTTCACCTGTCGAGCTGATGTTTATGTTTCTGTGTTGTGTACTCTTCCCAGACGGTAAGTTACACGGTCTCAGTGTTACAGTAACCGGGCCTGGATCATTTCCGCTTAGAAAACACGTACTAGATGATGTGGAGTGACAGACACAGGTTTTTAAGTGGTGTGTATATAAGATGATAATTGATAGTAATTAACACAAGATGTCATAAAGCTTACTCAACTTTACAGCAAAAAAATACATATAAGGATTTGATAAGTTTAGAAGAGAAAACCAGTTGTACACTGCCGAAACAGAATGTTTAGGCTTTAATCTTACTTAAACATAGATTATCGTTAACAATGCACGTACAAAAGAAATCCTTATTATCATTGAATGAGCAAGACTGATAAGATAACAAGTGACGGGCCCGGAACCAGATGATAGAGAGACTTAGACAGGTGCTACATAATAAGGCATTAGAAGTACATTAATTGGATAATGAAGCCCAGTCTGCGCTAGCCTTTATCCACGTGTTTCTATAAGTACGGATTTCCTGAGGTGTTATCCTGTTATCCTCATCACAAACAATCTTTTAAAACTAATTACCTAGGTACCTATTACGTACTTAGTCGTTATAAGGTCATCTGACGTATTTGTTGTCTATTTACGATCGGCTTTATTGTCTGTGTGATCTTACTATTACGGTATTATCAATGGTTATTTACTGATACATACCACGCATTGGTTATATAAAGCTCTACGAAAATTTGAAAATGATACTTAATTCATGTATGAGCTGGGGACGAGTGTTTAAATGTCATGTATACATACAGTCATGGAATCGATGCATCTGTCTGTTCTTTCGGGAGTAATTTGGTAAATCTATTTCGATGTTTGTTTAGAACCGTAAGTATTTAATCTCTAATTGTGAGTTAACAACACAATAAAACTTATACACCTGTTACCCTTACGTATACCTCTCAAACTCGAAACATATAAATATGTGTAGAGTATGTTAATTGTTACAAGTAATTATTAAAGGAGTGTAATTTAACACTAAAATAAGAGCACGCTGAAGACATCATCCTACTTAAAACAGAATGAGCTTTAAGTTAACGGTGAACTTGGCATTCAGTGTATATCTGTTTGATATTATCTATACCGCATCATAACATATACCGGCTGCCTTTCGGGAAGATAGGCTCTCGATAATACGATAATGGAATGATGATGACTTGTTCATTAACCAAAGCAGACCCTCTTTGTTAGACCCCCTTAACAAGTCTGCAGGTCTGTGATAAAGAACATTTGTACCATGAAGTATTAAGATCTGGCCAGATCAACACACACGTGGTACTGAACGCCAGCTGTGCTTTAGAATGTTTACGTCAAACTGTCAATACCATGAAGTATTAAGATCTGGCCAGATCAACACACACGTGGTACTGAACGCCAGCTGTGCTTTAGAATGTTTACGTCAAACTGTCAATACCATGAAGTATTAAGATCTGACCAGATCAACACACACGTGGTACTGAACGCCAGCTGTGCTTTAGAATGTTTACGTCAAACTGTCAATACCATGAAGTATTAAGATCTGGCCAGATCAACACACACGTGGTACTGAACGACAGCTGTGCTTTAGAATGTTTACGTCAAACTGTCAATACCACGAAGTATTAAGATCTGGCCAGATCAACACACACGTGGTACTGAACGCCAGCTGTGCTTTAGAATGTTTACGTCAAACTGTCAATACCATGAAGTATTAAGATCTGGCCAGATCAACACACACGTGGTACTGAACGCCAGCTGTGCTTTAGAATGTTTACGTCAAACTGTCAATAATTACCTCTTATTGTTTTAGGAAACTGTAGTTGAAGAAGAAATTGATGTCATTTTGTCACTTTTTTATGGTCGTGATTCCATAAAGTTTTTTATGTATTCATTCAGTTTTTTTAATATATGATATTCACATTGTACAACACATAGATAACTTTCACTTACTAGATACTCTCATATATAAGGTACATTTTTATTTGTAAGTACTATATTCCTCCACAAGGTAGGTCTTGGGTGTCAGTTAGATTTAATGAGATTTGCTAAGAGTCTAGATAAAACATAAACCGTCGGTTTGGAATATTACCACTTTTTGCAAATACTGAAGTGCAATGTGACGGTTTTACACGTGCTGAAGTATAAAATGTTGTGGCTTTACACATGCTGAATTGTAATATTGTGGTTTTACAAGTGTTAGAGGGTGAGGTCGTGTTTTTTACATGTGCTTTATAATTATGTCCTGGTTTTACACTTGCTGCTAGTCGAGGGTGTTTTTTCCTGTTTATATGCAATAGGGTTTTGCTGTATTACGCATGCAATTGGTTGATGCAGTAATTTATCACACGCTGCCTGGTATTAGTTTGGCTTTTCCACGTTCTGATGTTTTGTGGATGTTTTTTTGCCAAATGATTTATTGGTCAGCTCTGTTTTGACACGTGACGAGTAACACATTTTATGACTCTGCCATCAGTAAATGGTAATGTTCCAACCCCGCACTGCGTGTTTTAGTGTATAACGCGCAAACTGAGACATTTTTCAATAGATTATAATATTAGAACTGATGACATTTGTGCACCAGTCTGGCTGTCTCCAATCTAAGATTTTACAACCATGTTTTAAAAACTTAATATGATTGCTTGCAGGTCCTATAGACATATGGTAATATGTACGAAATAATTGTCAATTATGATGTAACTAGCGTTGATTTAATTAGGAAAAAAACTAACCCAAATTTATTAGATTCAATATGAAACCACAAGATGGTATAGGTATAGTTCTTCTGGTCAAAAGATTAACTAAAAGGCAGCGAAATACTTTTCTCTACGGGGTGCAAGCTTTGGCCGCCAAGAAACTATCTCCTGTTCCTTGACTGTGTTATGTAGGGTTGTGTATACTGATCTTGATGGAATGCACAACGTTTGTGGAATGTAAACACTCCAGAAATACTGAATATTAATTTTAGACGCGATATCATCTCCCTTAGCCCTCTGTCTAATGGTACACATACGTTATTGGAGAGAATGGATCTGATAAGGATATGTAAATCTTTTGATCTTTCTGTAATACAAAACATGTCACACCGCCCCACAATTCAATACATTTCGTAACTATTGACTGGCTATACTAAACCTTCATGCTGACACTTTTTCCTTAAACATTCTGTCCAGATGTATCGTTTCAACAAAGAATGTTGATGTCAATTAAGAGAAATATTTCATTCGGAAAGATTTCCTCTTCAAAGAAACATAAACGTTGAATATGAGTGAACTATTTCACCACCAGACATGTGTTGTGAATTAGCTTTGTTACCAGTACACTATTACTCCTGTAGATCTACCACAAGCTTGTTTTTATTTTCGAAAGCTTTCGACATGATACTTAAAAGTTATTTCTGTACATACAGGTGTTTCTACTGAGGATAGATATGCAAATAGAGGTCAGCGGAGACGAAAACACATACTTGTCTCTCGATGTCTGTATCATACTGTAGCGATAGTGAACCAGTGGTTATGTCAGCACATGACTAACGTACAACATAACAATGTCGTTTCCTTTATGTTAAACTATATAAATTATAATATATCTCTTATCTTTCGCCATATTTCTTGATATTTTCCGTTTTTTTCCATTTCAGACATGTCTGTAACCATACCAAGCGGATGTAGCAGAGGGCGCTCTCTGACATCAGACACTTGATGGATTAACCCTAAGGTATGCTGTCTCCCGCCAGGGCAATGATCTAGGGGTTGTTCATACTGGGATACCGTTGATCTAGCACTTCTGGTGGGGATTCGTTCGATAAACATGTTAATAATAAAGATCACCCCTGATTGTAGGAATGGTATGCTCATTTTGAATACGTCATATCTTATCAGTACCCCCATACTTCGAATCTTAATAGTAGGTCTAAATAAAGATTCAATGAGATACAGAAAGCTTGGAATAGGAAGATTGTTCAGACGAAGGGATATCGTTTGTATCCTGTTGAGCCAGTGTCAGATGAGGGCGAACTGTACCCTGTTTCACAGCCCTCGGTAGAGGTCATTTGAATCATACACCTATTGACATTGATGTGCGCTTCCTTTAGATTTACTGATCCAGCAGTCATTCTTCAGGTTCTCTTTGTCGTATCTATAGAAATAAATCTTTGTTTAGGCCAGTCAAACTAGGATGGTTTACGTACATACGCACGTAGGCCGTGTTTATGTAGACTGATGTTCAGTAAAGATAAGCACACTGGAACAGTTGTATATGTATTACAATATAGAACCTAATAACGACACAACACTCGTGCTGTGAACGAAGGGTGACGTGAATGGGCCGCGGTACAGCTTTACTCCTAAATGTTTATTAAAAGAAACATCTATAGAAGTTACTATGTGTTGTGTGTGTTAATAGGTAGTCATAGAAACATACGTACTTATGAACTCATCACTCCAAAAATTTGTAGAGTTCTATTTCCTTCATAAGCTTGTATGACTTGACATATTTTATCGGTATTCATGATTCATTACTGTATGAAATTTGTATGAAACTGTTTTTTCCTTTTATCCAACAGGATATTCCAGATGACATCAGACTAAAATGTCCAAGATCAGTCAGGATATCAGGATCGAAAATGACGTGAAATATGGAGCAACAGCCAATAACAATGAGGATGATTTGGAAGAGGAGGAAGCGGAAGTGGAGGTTGTCAGTGGAGATGGGAATATTTTAATTCTCAAGGTCATCACGGTCGTTAGCACGTGCATTGCTGTTACTCTGCTGGCGACCGTGGTTGTCCTTGGAGTATTTTACCAGAGAGCACCAGTATGTGATCATGGGCTTCCACACATTCCAAATAATCTGGAAAAACCAGAGATTTTTGACGAACTGACGGTGGAAGAGTTAGAAACTGTCAGAGATTACTTAATTTCCAGGAGAGAATTAAATCTTGTGTCATTTGACGCAGCAACTATTAACAGCAGTTATATCTATATGATAGATTTACTTCTTCCACTAAAGGCAGCTGTTCTAAAGAATTTGGATCGTGGTGGACGACAACCTGTTCGAACAGCCAAGGTCGTAATATTCCGCGGTGATCTGCGTCCTCCTCGCGTGGAGGAATATCACGTCGGACCGATTCCCCGACCTACGTATGCCCGTCTCGTCACAAATCCGTCATACACTACGTCGCGTGTGCCATTCAGCGCTCGCCCAGTCAGTGAAATAGAGTACAAAGCTCTTTACGAACATCTAGAACAGACAAGCGAGGAGCTGTACTTCCTTCTACGAGACAGTTACAGTTTGGCCTATCACAATTGTACACAAGGTGTGGATTGTATCATATTTAAAGATACAGCCCCAAGAGGGTTGAAGAGCGGAGATCGTAAGACATGGTTCTGGGCCTTTCGTGATATAGAAGGCTCGGCACTTCATCCTCTGGGATTAGAAATCCAGATAAACCATGAGTCAATGGACATCACAAAATGGCATATAAGTAGGATTCTGTACAACGGCTTCCTCTTCTACTCCGTCGAAGAGTTGATGACAAAATATTTAGATAATCGAATTACGAAAATTGCGATCGATCCGGTGGGCTTCCAAGAACATCTGTATTCCTCGTATGTAAAAAGAGGAAAGACAAACGCAGTGCCTTCTCAAGGTCCGAAATTGGTTGAGCCAAACGGAAGGCGATACATGGTGGTAGGTAATCATATAAAGTACATTGACTGGGATTTTCACGTGCACATGAGATCGTCGACTGGCCTGCAGATCTTTGATGTCCGATTCCAGGAGGAGCGTATTGCTTACGAGATCTCCTTGCAAGATGCCGTTGTTATGTACTCAGGTTTTGGACCATCACAAAGTTCTACTGTCCATTACGACACGAGCATGTTAATGGGTAGATTGGCCTTTGAGATGGTACCTGGTGTTGACTGTCCGGACACTGCAATCTTTTTAGACACTCATCATTTTGTTGATACTAGTACACCAAGGAAATTCAAAAATGCTATTTGCATATTCGAAAATAATGGCGGAATTCCTTTGCGACGCCATTACGAGAGTGACAGACGAGGGGGCTTCAAAAGTTATGGTGGACTTGTAGACTACCATCTTATAGTAAGAACTACTGTAAGTATTTGGAGTTATGATTTTATATTCGACTATATATTTCATCAAAATGGAGCGATAGAAGTGAAAGTAACACAGACTGGTTATATACAATCAACGTATGCCTTACCGTATGAGTCGGCGTTCGGGTATAAAATACACGACTTCGTTATAGGGACATTACATCAACATTTATTTCATTTTAAAGTGGATCTGGATATAAACGGACCAAGAAACAGATATGCAACATTAGATACGTCGGTAATTACCAAGCCGAGCCAGTGGTACAGGGATATAAATCATACCTATATAGGATTTGAGAAAGTAGACAGAAAACGGGAGCAGGATGTCATATACGAGACCGGTGAAAAGTCGAAACAGAGATTCGATATCATATACAATAGGTACGCCACCAGCAAATTTGGCTCAAAGCGAGCCTTTAGAATATTTAACTTAGCAATGTCGGACCTTCTGTTGGAGGACGCCGATGTTGCTAACGCTGCAAGATGGGCCAAGTACCCTATTGCTGTGACACAATTCAAGGACACTGAAGAGATGTCCAGTTCTATTTACGCCCAGAATGACCCCTGGCAACCAGTAGTGGACTTTGACAGATTTCTGTTGAACAATGAGTCTATTGTAGACGAAGACTTAGTAGCCTGGGTAACGATGGGGCGAATTCACATTCCACATACAGAGGACGTACCTTCTAACTCGATCACTGGAAACCAATATACGTTTTTCTTGTTACCATTTAACTATTTTACAGAGTGTCCGAGTATCGGATCGCCAAATGCGGTACGGATTCGACCGGCTCTGCCTCCTGACGGTAACAAGGTTGACACATTCGGTACTTCGTTCGAGTCCACGTGCGTGCAGGATTCTGTGGGCCCGTTCGAATACAATGGACGCTGGGACCACGTGGCCAAGGACGATGATTAGACATTTTTATTTGATCTCTTATACTTATTTTACTATATATTTAGTAATATTAAAACGCCCAAAAACCTTTCCAGATTTCTGTTTTTTCTGTATAAATACAATTTTTCTTGATTACGAATTAGCTCAATATCGCAGCATCTGCAAATTAAATTGTAACACAATTATCTGTAATATTTTTAAACAAGTTATGTTTCGCGAAAGCACCTCTTTGTGACTGAATACCGATATTTCGCCATAATTATCAATTAACTCGACCAAATCTTTACCTATTCCGACATTGATATCATGCCAAATCTCAACAAAATATCAAGGCTTGATCTTTGTCAACAAGTTATGATATAGTATATATATTTTTTTATACTGAATTAAAGTGCTTTTGTTCCGCTGTTGTTGATGAACGAGAGTTGCTTCCCCTCTCCCACTTATCAAATAATATCGAACGAATAACTTGCTGAATAGCTTGTCTCGTATGTACATCTGTGCGCTGAATAAATGTATATGTTCTGAAGCTTTTCCCTAGGGACTTATTCTGTAAGTAAATAAATTAAATTTCTATCAGTTTATTGTATCTGAATGTATAACGTAGATGATTTAAAAGCTGCATCTTATCAAATATCATATATGTTATTTCCTAATAAATGATGATATCTTCCCTAGTTAAAGTTAGAGTGCGGTTAAAAATATTTCATCAATTAAATATTACCATAAAACATAACTATTTTCAATATTTTCGTCATTTTTTAACATCTAAAACAGTTATGATGCCAATTTCAATTTCACTTTTGGCAGATCTGTTATTTATTGTGTTAGCAATGAAAACGAAACAGTTGCAATATAGTAATGAAAGATAATAGGACAAACAGATAATACAAACACACGTACATTACTTGTTTTATTAATGATCTGATATTTTAAAGGTGGTGCTAGAATTCTTCACCCGATAATGATTCCAGCATCCTTGTAGGCACTGCAACGAGACGATGATATATCAAATACCACACAACCATCAACAAACCCAATCGTGAAATCTTCACAACATCTTACGTTTATAGTTCAATGTCATGTTACTATTTTGAGCAAGGAACTGATTTTAATGTAGACTACATAAATATTGAAATAGTTGATTGTGATAAATTTTGTTATGACATTTCTGCTAAGAGAGACCCAGTAAATATTTCTACTGTTCCAGTTCTTATTGACACGTTTATATAAAAAAAAATGAAAATTTAACCAAAGGGAATCAGTTTTAGTTAAAGGATACGTCATAAGTAGAAGAAAGGCTTATAAAACCTTTCGACCAAAAGAAATAGTTTTTGAAATGCATGTTTTAGTTTAATTAATGTCGGTAAGACCTTAGATGTGATGTATTGTCAGTAATACACGTAGTTTGTTATATGAAAGTCTCACTGTAAGATAACGTTCACGATAAGGAAAAAACACTATAGTTACTTTGTAGTCCCACAAAGGTATGAAAACAAATAAACGATACAACATTGGCGTCACATATTTTATTAACGATTGGAAACTGTTTTCGAAGTGACGCTAGACTTCATCCTATTACCAATCCGCCATCCTGATAGGCACTGAAATAACACCGACAATACATCTTATTATCTATTGAAAACAACAAATGTTGACGGATTTTCGTACCAACATCAATTGCTCAAAGCACTGGAGATATATGAGATGTTACGATGGTAAATGTAATTTATACTTCGGTCAAGCAATAATGATACAGTAAGGATAATTACAGCATTTCCGTTGCTAAAATTTGCCCAGTGAAGATTTACATTATTTACGCTACTAAGATTGGCCCAGTGAAGATTTACATTATTTACGCTACTAAGATTGGCCCAGTGAAGATTTACATTATTTCCGCTTCTAAGATCGGCTCAGTGAAGATATTTATCATTTAAAGCAGGTAGGTAATAGTGATCATATTACACGTGCGTCATTACAGAAAGGTAGGAAATAGAAAGCATATTACACCTGCGTCGTTATAGAAAGGTATGTAACAGAGATCATATTACACGTGCGTCGTTATAGAAAGGTATGTAACAGAGATCATATTACACGTGCGTCGTTATAGAAAGGTATGTAATAGAGATCATATTACACATGTGTCGTTATAGAAAGGTATGTAACAGAGATCATATTACACGTGCGTCGTTATAGAAAGGTATGTAACAGAGATCATATTACACATGTGTCGTTATAGAAAGGTATGTGATAAAGATCATATCATCATCCATGAACAGTGAACATGTATATATGTATCACTTTGAAATGTCTCAAATGATATTGGAATAGAAAAAAACTTTAATATAGCTGAAATACTAACAAAACGTATCTGTCAGATTTAGAATTTATCTTCATAGACGTTTAAACAGACTTTTAAGCTCCCCTTCCCACTTTCGCTGGTTAATTGTTTAGGTCATTGTAATTAACTTTGTGAAGCACTTTTGACTTCATTGTGGTAATGATATGACAGTTTTAGTTTTATAGCTATCGACGATGTGACATGGTCAAAAGTTTGGTATCAACTGAAAGGAACAATCATATCAAATATGAAAACTACACCTCTTACGGTGTAATATTTATGGACAAGGTTAGAGTTGACAACAGAAAAAAACAACAAAAACAAACAAACAAATAGACAGCATAAAAAACAATACGCCCTTAATATTTCGATCCTGGGTATAACCAGTTGTTTTTCATTTTTCATTTAAGCAATTAAAACTATGAACCTTTTGTAGAGACTAGATTTAGCATTACTTCTTAGCCTTTCTATGTATTAGAACAAAACTGTTATGGCATATATGTTACAGTAAGATTGTGAAATCACTAAACCTTTCAGTGAATTCGTGAAATAATTAATTCACTTAGTAACTTCACGAAATCACTAAAATCGTTAGGGATTTCCTGTAATTACTGAAAAAAGTAGTGTTGTGTTACACAAATCTACTCGACCCCCCCCCCCCCCCCCCCCCCCCCCTTTTTTTTTTTTTTTTAAAGGAATATTGTGAATCAGAACAGAACACTTTTATTTAACTTGGTTTAACATACAGTTACAGTAAGATTATTAAACATAGTTTAAGCAGAATCCTTTCACTTTCAATGTTAATATTATATACAAGAATTGTTTTCTTTAATACTTTGTGGAAACGATTTCTGTAGAATGAGACATGACTTACTCTTTTTCGCAGACGAAGAAGAAATGATCATCACACTCATGATCGTTCCACCTCCAGTGGTGTGTCCGGGATAAATCCAGACAATTCTCGTCCGAGTCGATAGGCAGCACCCCCCCGTCTCTCCAGTTCGTGTAACTCTGGGCACTTATCGGTGTCTTGGATTTAAGCCACACCCACGTGCCTTCCTCAGCAAAATCGTTTCCGCCGAACCAAAATCTGGGAGGATCATACGCATCTGAAAGAAACATAGTGATCTACGCCATGACATCACACGCACACAAAGTTAACTGGACTGTTAATCAACAGATAAGGATTTCCGTATCTAAAGTTATTAATTAACCACTTTATGTGTATATTTCAGTGAAATCCAACACTTATTGTTCATAAGGTGATACACGAGATATAAATGTATACGATAAAACAATCGTTTTACCAGGTGTCGCTTTGATATAAATAAATGATAAAAACAGCATTTGAAAAACGTTTCAGTCTCTCTAAACCATTCCCATCTTACCGGCATTTGTCGCTAGGTGGCCCTCAATGAAATGTTGTTCATCTTCAGTTTCAATGGTTGCAAGGTCTGCACCAACAGCACGACAGTAAATCTAGGAATAAAGGGCCTGTATCACTTACATAAACCAAAACGATCTCTCTATCGAAATTTACAGTATCAATTTTTTTTCAGCACTCATCAAAAATAATGATGATGAAGAATGTCGAAAAGCTGGATTTCCATACACTTCCTAAACTTTTGGACTTGAGGTTTTGTGATTTTTAATGGAATTGTTTATATGTTGGATCTTCACTTATTCCGTCTCTTTGTGTTCAGTTCCTGGGGATAGTATGCAAGTCTTATAGCTATCCATTATTTGCGTATTATCATACCATTGTAAAATCTAACTTACATAATGACACACTACACATATATAATATACACTTGTACTTTCGGTGTACGCTTGCATCTACTTAATTAAAAAAAAAATGCAGTCATCATCTGATTAAACACACTATCGTTTATACTTACATCACTTTCAGGCCAAGTAGCCTTTATTCGCACTATTTTGTAGCAGGATCCACCATGTTTCACAAAACCATCCGGACACTCCGCCACACCTACAGTGAATATAATCAGTAACAAAATGAAAAACAATAGAGATGTTCTGTAACTACCGCCTTACCATACACCAGATATGAAGTCATAGTGTGGGTCAAAGTGACCAATTTTTTTATACGCCACACGCCGTCTAACCAAGGTGAGCCCATATTCCTACTAATGAAGGGGAAAGGACCTGAACAAACTTTTTTCTTTTGATGTAGGTCAAAGGTCATATATAAGCCAGAATCACCAACTTCGCATCAAGATAAACCCTTATCCCAAGAATGAGGTTACCAAGATTAGTGGTGAGGAAGATTGGTCATGTACTTTGACGTAGGCCAGTGGTCAAAATGTAGGTCAGAGTGACCTACTTTTAATATGAACCTAAAATTATTAGAATTGTAGACCTGCATATCCAAAGGTCCATCGAAATGATACCACATCATCAAATGAGAATAAGATTTTAAAAGCAAAACTGTTGTTAAAGAATCACTTTGAGTTAATCTGATCTTTCTAAAACTGGACACGATCCGAATTCAATTTTGATTTTAACAACGGAACTAAGATCTAGATTCTCCAAAACCATAGGATAAAATATTACAAATGAACGGAGGAGTTGAAATTTTTACTTTGAAGATGTTAATTTTGTATTGTATTATATGTGTATTATTATTAATTATTTCTTGACATATTACAAACATAACACTAAAATCTTGCTGCGTTAAGATACATCGGAATATAAAGGTAGTGACATCATATTGCCACGAACAATTATACTCACAGAGGGATGTCACTGACAGAAGTAAGGACAAAGCAGTGATCAATGCCATTTCGTTTCCAATAGAATTAGTTGTGAAGATTAAACCAACCCCTTCACCGATAAAGAATGCTACCTTGTCTCTGTAATATCACATTTTCTTATCAGCTGGTTCCTATTGTCATGAAAGTCAGATAAGTATGATTGCAGGGCTCCGACAAACGCATACCGTATTTCAAACTGGTTTTGTTTCGTTCCATAATTTCAAAAAAATGTTTTCAATCTAGGAATTTATGTTATATTTGGAAGAACATGTATGGACCTATGTTATGCTTTTGGTGTCATTTGTAATTCAAACGAAATGCCACACCCCCTCAAATGCTTGTTGTCGGACACTTTGCCATTTTACCTGTACGTCAATGATGAATGCAGTTATGACTTGGACATTATTTATTTTGACAAAAAATAGAGAATGTGTTACAAATGTGATTTAATAGTTGTACACTTTACAAAAAGTATTTTCGGTGCAATTTGTTTGAAAAGGTCTTTTTAAAATTTTAGCATATGCAAGATTTTTATAAAATTTCATAATTTCATTTCTAATTTTCCGTTGAATATCTATAAGCTTCATGTCCTGATTTGTCTACTTTCGTATGACATGTTTATTATAATTTTGTTTGCTTATATCAAGTTCTGTGATTTAATCGTTATAAACGCTTTACAGGACTAAAACGTTTTCTTTTACCTACCTGGTCATATAACATAATTCAAATGTGTAAAAACACTATCCAGTGGTGACCATTCTCTCCTAGAATGCATTGCGGTACCCCAATAACACCCCTGTAAACGACTCGCGCCATTTCATGATTACTGAAAAGTCTTTTTGTGTCAAATAAAGAATTTCATCATTTTTCTGTTTTGTTGATTGTATCATTATTTAAAACTAGACTTTTGTTTATCTGGAAAATTACTGCGTTAGTTTATATGTTACAAACGTGATGGATTATTTCGCGGAAGATTAACTTTGAGTAAACAGTCACATTCCGTGGCGTTTACATTTGTACTTCCACTGATACATGTTGATATGATGTGATGTCAGTGATAACTGATGGTAATTTGACTACAACATTGCACATAACCTCTTAAAAGGCACAAATGATGTTTTTTATGCTGGTCGCTAGCATACATTTTACGGCTGTGACCTTCGTTGGTGTTGTCAGGGATGCTGCCATAGGTTTGCACGACTTTAAACTTTCTCCCTGACCGCAAAGTCAACTATTGGTAGTCCGTGAGCCGTTTACAGAGGTATATTCAATCTCTACCAGAGTTGTCGTTCCCTATCAGTCATAAAGCACCTCTGTAATAATACCAATAACAAAGCAGGACAAATTATGAAATACTTTATTATTTGATGCAAATTTGCTTTTCAGGGATCTTGAAATGGTGTGAGCCGTATACAGAGGTGCCGCAATGCACTCTGGGAGAGACCGAAGTGTATTGTGACTGTTAAAGAACGACAACTGTAGTAGAGATAGTATTGTGACGTCAATAGTAGATCACGTCTGGATGACATCATATACTTTTCTGTAGTGAAAAGTACCGTTCGAATCCAAATCTGCCTTGTGGAAAGTTTTTACTTATCTGAAAATGGAATCGTGTTGAATGATGAATAGAATATAGCACTCGTGCCGATGTATATGGAACTAATCCAAACTGTTTAATAATTTCATATACAACTTGCGTAAAGGTTCATACCCTATCAAATTATTGAACATTTGTAGGTTATTCCAAATTACATGAACACTTATATCCTTTGTTTATCACACAGTCCCCTTATCCAGTGAATTTGCCCATTTAATATAAAGCGAGTATGTCATACTTGTGATATAACCTGGAGTGCTTTTTTTGGCTGTGCCAGTCAGAAATCGATTGTGATGTCTTATGGATAATAATGTTACGTCACGAATTAAAATGGTGAAATGGAACAAAAAGATATAAACAGGTAAATTGATAAAGAGAATATCTAACTCCATTTGATTTTACCCTTCACAATATTACTTTAACCTGCCAAAATATACTTCTTCGTGATATGTTTCAAGTATTGAAAATTTGTTTTTGTTTGAGAGATTATAAAGTCGTTTCAAAGTTTTTATATTTGTTCGCCTAAAATACAGAGATCTAAACATTTCCTCATAAATCTGAAAAAAACACGCCTATAACTTAGAATGTGGTATATAAGTTATGAACTTGCTGTAGCTTAGTTTTAACAGTACATTTATACCGAACAGTAATGATTTGATCTTGTAAGTCCATGCCAGGTGCAGACTGTGGAAGTGACCATGTCCCAGTTGTCGGGACAATGCGACCAAAATTGAAAAAGTTGTCAAAAGCAAAAAGAACACCAAAACTGCAAATAAACATGCTACAAACTAACGAAGAAATCAAAGAAAAATACAAGATCAAAGTAGGAAACAAATTTGATGGCCTAGACCAACTCACCACTACAGAGGAAAATTGGCAGGTGATGAAAGATAGCATCAGCGTGGCAGCAAAAAAACATACACCAGTCATAAATAGAAAGGAACATAAGAAGTGGATGAGCTCTGAGATTTTAAAGCTAATGGAAAACAGGAGAAAGGCAAAAGCAGATGGAAATAAGTATAAAGAACTCGACAAACTGGATAAGAAAAAATGTAATGAAGCCAAGGAAGAATGGATAAATATGCAGTGCAAGGAAATGCAAACGAATGCAAATTTTGATAACAAATTTATGCATGAAAAGATAAAAGATGTGGCAAGGAAGAAATCATCTACAAAAACAGGTTGCATAAAGTCGAGAGATGGGGAAATACTCATGGAAAAAGAAGATATTCTAAACAGGTGGTCAGAATATATCGAAGACTTATACCATGACGACAGAGGTCCACCTCCTCATATTAGCAACGAAGATGGCCACATAATCATGGAAGACGAAGTGAGACATGCACTCAGCAAGATGAAAAGTGTAGAGGCGCCAGAACCTGATGATATCCCATCTGAACTGATAACAGCCTTAGATGAAGTGGGAATTAAGGCAGTCACACAACTACTGAACAATATATATGACACAGGAGAGATTCCGACAGATATGAAGAAGTACATCTACATTGCAATCCCTAAGAAACCGAATACAGCTGAATGTAAAAAGCATCGTACACTCAGCCTAATGAGTTACCTCACATAACCTGTAAAGGAGAGAGAATCAGACAAGTAAACGCCTTTAAATACCTTGGTTGTACAATCACCCCGGATGGCAAGTGTGACACAGAAATCAAGAAGAGAATAGGTCAATCTAACTTTTAACAACATAAAATGCATTTTTATCATCAGTAACATAATCCGCAAGACAAAGATCCATTTTATGATAGCATACGTATAGCCCATTCCTTTATACGGATGTGAATGCTGGACCCTAACCAAGGACACAGAACAGCGACTAGAAGCAGTGGAGATGTGGTTCATCGTGAGAATCATGAAAATCTCATGGACAAAAAGAAAAACAAATGCAGAAGGAATGGAAACGGCTGAACACAAGAGATCCCTTCTCAACAACATCAGAGAAAGACAGCTCAAAATTTTCGGCCATATAATCAGGGCTGAGGGAAAAGAGAAACTGTTATGGAGTGGCAAAATATGTGGAAACAAGAGCAGAGGAAGGCAACGCACAAAATTCACAGACAGCTTAAACAAATTTACGACGAATAAAGAGGACACTAACAATGAACTTATGAGAAAGACCGAGAACAGGGAAGAATGGAGAGCCATGATCGTCGATGTCTGCAAGACCAGACCAGACGCTTGAAGAAAAAGAATGATTTGATACAAGATTTCCTCGGTTTTAACAGAACATTTATATAGATCAGTCATGATTAGATACAGATTTCCTCGGACCTAACAGTACATTTATATAGAACAGTAATGATTTGATACAGATTTCCTCGGTTTTAACAGTACATTTATATAGAACAATAATGATTTGATACAGATTTCCTCGGTTTTAACAGTACATTTATATAGAACAATGATTTGATACAGATTTCCTCGGTTCTAACAGAACATTTATACCGAACAACACTGGTTTGATACAGATTTCCTCGGTTTTAACAGTACATTTATATAGAACAATAATGATTTGATACAGATTTCCTCGGTTTTAACAGTATATTTTACCGGACAATAATAGTTTGATACAAATTTCTTTTGTTGCAGTACATATTACCATGCCATTCATTTATGTACTATACATTAAAACCTCTTTATTATATCGTCACGTTTTACACGAGAGGACACCATGCTTTCAGACTTACAATGTAGAACTATTTTTGGTACATTTATTATAAAATGACAGGTAGGATTATCCATATCCCTATTGTGTTTATAAACGAAGAAATGCCAACAGTATCAATATTCACGACCAATATATCATGTTGTGTCGATATCTCGGAAAGCTTTCCGCGTTGTAATAGAATTATGTGCTTTCATAGCCTAAAAAAAATCGGCACACTGTAACCGTTCAGTTTTAACTTGCATTCGGCACTCTGTAACCGTACAAATTTACATTGTCTTCGGAACACTGTAACCGTACAGTTTTACCTTGTATTTGACACATTGTAACCGTCCAGTTTTATCTTGTGTTCGGCACACTGTAACCGTACAGGTTTACCCTGTATTGGGCACACTGTTACCGTACAGTTTTAACTTGGATTCGGCATACTGTAACCGTACAGTTTTAACTTGCATTCGGCACTCAGTAACCGTACAGTTTTACCTTGTTTTCGGCTCAATGTCATCGAACAGTTTTAACTTGTATTCGGCACATTGTAACCGTACAGTTTTACCTTGTATTTGACACATTGTAACCGTCTAGTTTTATCTTGTGTTCGGCACACTGTAACCGTACAGGTTTACCCTGTATTCGGAACACTGTAACCGTACAGTTTTACCTTGTGTTCGGCATACTGTAACCGTACAGTTTTACCCTGTATTAGGCATTCCTGTTACGGTACAGTTTTAAATTCTATTCAGCACACTGTAACCGTACAGTTTTACCTTGTATTCTGCACACTGTTACGGTACAGTTTTAAATTCTATTCGACACACTGTAACCGTACAGTTTTAACTTGTATTCGACACACTGTAACCGTACAGTTTTACCTTGTGTTCGGCATACTGTAACCGTACAGTTTTACCCTGTATTAGGCATTCCTGTTACGGTACAGTTTTAACTTCCATTCGGCACTCTGTAACCGTACAGTTTTACCTTGTGTTCGGCACACTATAACAGTACAGTTTTACCTTGTATTCGACACACTGTAACTGTACAGTTTTACCTTGTGTTCGACACACTGTAACCGAACAGTTTTATCTTGTGTTCGGCACACTGTAGCTGCACAGTTTTACCTTGTGTTCGACACACTGTAACAGTACAGTTTTACCTTGTGTTCGGCACGCTGTAACAGTACAGTTTTACCTTGTGTTCGACACACTATAACAGTACAGTTTTACCTTGTGTTCGACACACTGTACCAGTACAGTTTTACCTTGTGTTCGGCACACTATAACCGTACAGTTTTACCCTGTATTCGGCACACTGTAACCGTACAGTTTTAACTTGTGTTCGACACACTATAACTGTACAGTTTTAACTTGTATTCGGCACACTGTAACAGTAGAGTTTTACCTTGTGTTCGGCACACTGTAACAGTACAGTTTTACCTT